CGATACAAAAGTATAGTCAAAAATGAAAAAAATGAAGAGTAATATAGTATGCTACTAAAAGTCTCTGCTAAGGAAGACTTTAATTAATTAATATTAAAATGTATTAACTTTTTAAAAACTATAATGTGAAGAGGGGTTTTAATAAAATATAAACACCTGTAACTATTCCTTATGTGGTCAGAAGGGAGCTTGGCTCCTATGGTGGGCCACAGGACAGCCAGCGTGTTTGTGACCCCTGTATTAAATACTGAAACGCAAATGACAATTGAAAAAGTTAGTCCAAAACTGACTGAAAATCAAATTAAATGATTTCTAGCACAGGGTCTCTCTCCTGCAGCTAACAGAAAAACCTGAAGGCATGGGGTTTTCCCATTTTTTCTGCTCCCAGAGAGCTAGCCATTGACTTCAAAGGGAGCAAGAACATGGACCCATTTACTATCAGTGATATTACTACATGCCACCACAGTTGAGCCTTTAAACTGATGCTATAATTACAAGTTCCTGAGAAGAAGAAACTCGTTCAACTTACAAATACCCCCATTCCCATTGTTTACAGTGCAGAATCCCACGTCACAGCTAGCAATCCCATGCCCTCTCGCCTCAGCTGCACGTTTTTATACCTACAGATGAAGAGTCACATTAAAAAATATTTATAAAACAAAATATCCCCACGTATTTTATCAACAGTGCCTTTGACTACTAAACCCGACTAGTCTAATTTACTCTGCATTTCACTCGGCACAGATAATGGGAACAGAGTGCTCAGTTCCTACTCCACTTAGGCAAAGACTTCCAAAGTTGCCTAGGGGACTTGGACACCTGATTTCCATTACAATTAGTGGGACTTAGGCATCCAAATTCCTTGAGCATCTTTGAAAACCTCAGCCCTGATTTCCTGGTTCTTGTGCATTAGCACATTTTTGCAAAGTCTGGGTTCCCAGGGCTGCGGAGGGACACTTATTTAACTGAGCTATGATTTATGTTGCTATATGCAGAAGAGCCTCAGTCCTGGACCAGAACCCCATTGGGTTAGAATCATAGAATATCAGGGTTGGAAGGGACCCCTGAAGGTCATCTAGTCCAACCCCCTGCTCGAAGCAGGACCAATTCCCAGTTAAATCATCCTTTGGTTAGGCTTGGTATAAACTGGCAGTCCCTGTCCCTAAGAGCTTTCAATCTAACTGAAAAGAGAAAAAAGCAAGCGGCCACTGAAATAATAATAATTTAAAATACAGAAATAGCCCTGTTAGCCAAGATTCTGTGCAAGCTTGTTTTCACCAAACCCCACTTTGGACCTAAATATGTCTGGACATTGTCCCTTTAAGGTAGGGTTTGAATCAAAAGGAAGATTCGGTGGGGAAATGTTTTAAAAACAATTATAAGAGTTATTTTCCCAAGGAAAAAGCAGCTCCCTGCTGGAAGTTGCCACTGTCTGAATAAAATAGCACAATAACAGTAGTAGAATCATAGAATTGGAAGGGACCAGTCCAGTCCAGTCCCCCCACTGAGGGCAGGACTAAGTATTATCTAGACAATTATCTAATAATAGCTGTACAACAAAGCATCAGTTTAACCGATTGCCTGGACCAACATTGCCACGAATACATTCTGAAAGGATTGTCTAGTGACTGGTTTCATCCCAGCCCTGACCCTCATGATGGGGAGCAACTTTGTCAGCAGCCTATCCTGGTAGGTATAATTTCTTTGATCCCTCCTGACCAGGTTAAGGAAAGGAAGCAAACAAGAAAGGAGAGGGGTGAGACTGATGGATCTAACAGGGTTGGTTTTCAGCCTTCCTCAGTGCTGTATCTTCTAAACGCCTGCAGCCTCAAACAGCAGGTCTCTTCCTCAGTGGTTGTACTTGTGGAGAGAGAAAAAATTCAAGATTCACAAAAACTTTTGGATTAAAAAAACAAAACAAAACAAAACACAAGGAAAACTTATAAGAGATTCCGGTGGATCAAGCTTTCAGACACAGGGCTCCTGGAGGACCTCTGAGCATGAGAAAACTCCTTTTAAAAAAATTGGAGTGAGACTACTTGCAGCATGTGGTCTCCAGTTAGATTTGAAGCATTTAAATCATCTTTATTAATGCTTTGTGCTCATCTTCTGTTGCAGACTTATCCTCCCCGCTCAATGATGCGGAAATTAGACTTCTATTACACATCCCCAGGAAGGGCTGCTGGAAGATCAGATATTACTGATGTGTCCTAACCCTGTTACTGAACACTTGCCCAAGGGGTCTCACTAGACATTTTTTGGTGGCCTCAGAGTGCAGCCACCAACGCTTGCCGGTGGCCACCCTGACAATTTTTCCTAAAATACTTAATTAACTTTAGGCAAAACAAATCAATATGTACACAGACACGTCCAAATCACTGTAATTTTTTATGTAGGCTTGTATTGCACTCAATACAAATAATGTACAATTTTGTCTCTATTTGTTACTAAATAATGCTCTTTGTATGTTGTGACAGGGTCGGGCCAGATGGCTACAGGAGAGTAATAGAAGGCAGATATATTAGCCCCAGGTTAAGTAGGTCCCCTTTCCCTGGGTAAGGTAACAGGGAAGGTTCCAGAACCTTCTGGAGACAATTAAGATGACAGGCTGATTAGAACACCTGCAGCCGATCAAGAAGCTGCTAGAATCAATTAAGGCAGGCTAATCGGGCACCTGGGTTTAAAAAGGAGCTCATTTCAGTTTGTGGTGCATGTGTAAGGAGTTGGGAGCAAGAGGTGCTAGGAGCTGAGAGTGAGAACACGGACTGTTGGAGGACTGAGGAGTACAAGCATTATCAGACACAAGGAGGAAGGTCCTATGGTGAGTATAAAGAAGGTGTTTGGAGGAGGCCATGGGGAAGTAACCCAGGGAATTGTTAGTGTTGCACAGCTGTTCCAGGAGGCACTCTAAACAGCTGCATTCCACAAGGCCCTGGGCTGGAACCCGGAGTAGAGGGCGGGCCCGGGTTCCCCCCAAACCTCCCAACTCTTGGTCAGACACATGAGGAGTTGACCTGGACTGTGCGTTCATGAAAACAGCCAAACTGAGGGCTGCTGTGAAGCTCCAAGGCGAGCAAATTCGCCAATAAGCGCAAGGTAGAGTAGGAACTTTGTCACAACGTTCTTGTCTTTTTTGTTGTTTCTTTGGCTTTTTTATTTTTTTAAAAAAAGATTTGCTAGCTAGTAAGTCTGTTTCTGTGAAAAGTGCTATTTGTATGTTTAACACTGCTTTGACCCCCCCAGTCACGGCCCAGGAGGCTGTGGCCACACAAAAAGCCCCAGGTGGCTGCATGCAACCATGGTGGCCACAATTGAGAAATGCTGCACTAGCCTCACTTGCCTTTGGAGAGAGAGGTAATTGTGCAAGGCCCAACAAGCTGCCGTAAGTAAAGTATGTGATCTAGCTCAGCACATGCTGCACCTTCACTGCCTTACTATGAACGCCAGTAAAAAGATCAGCTCCACCTATTTATCTTCTTAAAAATTGACAGTCTCTCTGCTGGTCCCGCAGGGCCTGGTGATAAAGGCTTAGAGCTTCCCCAGGATGTGGTGTGCTGCCACCAGGGAACTGAGTTTCAACTAAACTCCCTTAGAAGGGACAGCAATTGCAGCTCGCTCCTCTGCTCCATTCAGCACCAAGCTAGCTTGGTCTCTGCCACATCTGTGCACAGAAGTAAAACGAGAGTTATTTTCAGGTAACCAGAATGTATACACCAGACCCAACATGGTGGAGAGCAGGGGATCAAGACAGGGCTCAGTTCCCCCTGACACCCACTCAGTGTGATCTTGAGCAAATCACCTTGCTTTGGAACCGTGTTTCAGTCCCTCCCAGAAAGATCTTTGTACATCTTCCCTCTCTGCATGCAAGGTGCCATGTAATTGCATCATCATCTAGTTAAGGGTCACTACTGCAGAATGCAGGTATTACTGATGACTCAACCAATTATATTCCCAAACTCTATTCCTCCCCACCTCCACAGAGCAATCTTTTTTTTACTATGTTGTAACTAGAAGCATTAATCATTCAATTGTGCTGATAACTGATCAGAAGTGGGAAGAGGAGATAGTCTTCAGTGTTTAGATGTCACTTAAAACCCTAACTGGAAAGATTTTCACCTCCAGTCATCCCCAACATCTGACTTTTTATACCCCTTCAAAATCTTGTGTGGCTATCCAAATGCAAGTTTCCAAAATTAAATCTGGCTATTTGAGAATAATTAATTGACTGGGCAAGGTTTTCCTAATGCATCACTTTTGGATCTGCAACATAAAACGATTTGTGCACCACAGCTGAATGTGAAGAAGTGGCCAGTGCATGTGGATTGCGCTACACTTCATTTTCCCAATATACATTGCTTGTGATTTTGGAGAATATACAACATCCCAGTCACTGCAAAAGAACTTGAGGCCAGATTTTTAAAGATACTTAGGAATTTGAAGATGCAGACAGGTGCTTAAATATCTCTGAAAAATCTGGCCCTTGGTGTACAAAAGGGTTATCAGAATAAAGCAAACCGACTGGGCAGACTGTTAAATAGTAGCAAGATGTCATAGATAAGATGAATACAGCAATTTATGAGCACTAAGACAATACAGGATGGCATGTCCTGGTAACTTGGGATTTTCCAGTTTGCTTTAGAAGGGTTTGATTATTTTACTTATTCATGTAGAGTCCTTTGCACATTCTACATGAGTGTGACCCTCACTAGTTCAGCCACCTCTCTTTCTCAGTAGAGATTGACATTTTCTTTTAAGTAAGGGCAAGTTCATATTTCTAAATTGCATCCCAACTTCGGTTGTTAATGTGTAATTATGGCAAAAGGGTACAAAAGGGAGATACTAGTTTGGTCTTCTTGTTTCAAATAGTACAGATAAGAGACTGGGATGGCAGGATCTTTTCTCACACACTGGTAAATGCTCACATTAATTTCAGTCTTTATTCTCCAGATTACCCACCCATCTCAAGCAATGCATGTAATAAATTCAGCCAGAATCATTCATTCAAAGGATCAATAATGCTCATATTTATTAACAAACCTGCAAACTGGCAATACAAATTAAGTCAATATATTTGAGTACAGAAATAAAGAACACTAATTGAACAGAGTCTTCATTTTTCAGTTATAATATTCCAAAGAGTCTATTAAAGTTATCTTTCAAGACTACAGTTTGGTATGGTTTTGTTTTTAGGGGTGCGGGGCGAGAGAGGGAAGAACAAGATTCAACACTCCAAAATGGGTCAGTGATGGTTTTTGTAGCAATGTGTATTTCAGGACTTGGGGCAGGAGAGACGCATGTGTCATTAGAGTTCCCATTAGAGCAGCTCTTTACAAGCCCAGCTTGGTCCTTCTCCAATGTCTCCTTTTGGAGTTGTACCTAAAACAAAAGCAGCACCACTTAATAAGCAAGGCACACTTGACAGTCTAACACAGACCACAATAACAGTCAGAATGAACCCACTAGTAAGGAGCTGGAATCTCTTGTAAAGGTTTAGTTGGGAATTTGTCAATTAATTATGGTAAAAGAAAATTACTTCATATTCTTTTTTAAACTATTTTCCATAGGTACTTGCTTTCCTTTTTCACTAGGTATATGAACCCGTATTGATGTAATAATAGCAGCAGCTTTAAAAAAAGGTAAGTTCCCAGAAGCAAACTTACCTAGAGACAGCAGCACTGAGCATGGACATACACTGTGCCACTTTTAGAAGAGAAGACAGTCACAGATAGCCTAGAATTCATGAGTTCAAGTGCTGGCAGTAAAGAACTGGCTAGCTCTTAAAACATCACCACAAGTACCATTTTTACCAGAAGAAAACATTCACATTCCCAACAGAAGTGGAATCCGAGAACACAAGAGCAGTGCATTGCAGCATGGAAAAGCACTTTCCCAGGGAAATCCACTAAAGCATTCATTCAAAACCTGCATAATTGAAGATTATAAATGTCATACTTGTACGTGTTAATGATTAGTGGTTTCACCAATGCATAGGTGAAATCAAAGGCAATATTAACAGAGTTACTCTCAGCAGGAAAATGGCAGTACTCCCACAGAATGAAGCACTGTAATTGCAGCCTGCTTTATCAAATACTTTGGGCAGAAAACTCTTGCTTTTGGTGCATTAAGTGTTGGAAGACAAAAATAATTAAAATTATGCACATTAGTAATACTAATGCTCAATATGCCTAGAACACAGCTAGATAGGTATCATCCCCCTTTTACAAATGGGTAAACCGAGGCACAGAGCAAAATGACTTTCCTAAAAACAGAGAGCAAATTAGCTGTAGTGACAACAATAGAACCTAGCAATCCTGACTCCCAGCCTCCTACTTTAACCACTAGCTACACTCACTCAGAGAAAAAAGGGGATCCAGCAGTGGAAAAAATAAAAGTAAAATAAAGAAATATACAAATGAACTGAAGGGAGTTTTTCCTGCAAGAGCTCTGTACTTCACCTGCAGCAGTTGACAATATAAATAAACCTCAGGCACTTTAAGAAATGCCCACCAAGTGTTGTTGTAGGTTAAGTTTTATTTATAATAAAGGTTAAGATTTTGTCACAGTTATTTTTAGTAAAAGTCACGGCGAGGTTATGGGCAATTTTAGGGGGGCCGCCCTTAATTCTGCGCTGCCTTCAGAGCTGGGTGGCCAGAGAGCGGCGGCGGGTGGCCAGGCGCCCAGCCAGCAGCAGCGCAGAAGTAACGGTGGCAATACCATGCCATGCCACCCATCTGCACGGCTGCCTTCAGAGATGGGCGGCCAGAGAGTGGCGGTTGCTGACTGAGGCCCCAGCTCTGCAAGCAGCAGTACAGAAGTAAGGGTGGCAATGCCATGCCATACCACGCCATCCTTACTTCTGCATTGCTGCTGGCGCTGCTCTGCCTTCAACTGCCGCTCTCCAGCTGCCCAGCTCTGAAGACAGTGCCGCTACCAGCAACAGCGCAGAAGTAAGGGTAGCAGAACCGCAACCTTCCTCCCCCACAACTCCTTTTTGGATCAGGACCCCTACAATTACAATTACAACACTGTCAAATTTCAGATTTAAATAGCTGAAATCATGAAATTTATGATTTTTTAAATCCTATGACCGTGAATTTGAACAAAAATTCACAGGAGCCCATGACCTGTGACTTTACTAAAAAATAACTGGACGGGGGGCTCCCCACAGGGCTGGGGGGCTCACAAACCTGGCTCCAGTGGCCACAGCCATTGCGGGAATCGGGGCAGCACACAGCCCCAGCTGCAGGGGGTGGTGGAGTGCGCATGGCCCCAGCCGAAGCCGCGGGGTGTGCGCGTGCACACACGTTCGCACAGTCCTGACTCCAACAGCAGCCATAGGAGAGGGACACACAATCCCGGCTCCAGCTGAAGAAGTCACAGATGTCTGGTGAAACTGGTAAATGTCATGGAATCTGTGACTGACGTGACCTCCATGACTAAACTGTATCCTTATTTATAATCTAGCACAAGCAAGTACCAACATGCAATAAACGTGGACAAAATCAAGTACAGTATTTCAGTCTACATATGCATTCTGGTAATGATTTGTGGTTACAAATCCTCTAAATGTTATGTATTAGCCCATCACCATACGCAGACCTTCAATGAAGGAAATTCTTTAGTAGTAAGATTCCCCAGACACTGTATTCCAGGAACAGGGGATGGATGCCGAGGGTAATCACAGATGTTTTTTCCTCACAACACATCCATGAGTACAAGACTCTTCGATCCACCTGCCACTACTCATAACGTAAATGGAGCTTGTATAACTAGGGGCTTTGGTCAGTACATCTGTGTCAGTAACAGATCTTCCCATTCCCAAGCAACACACAGCTATCTGTGCCAGCAGAAGTGTGTAATGCAGACATGGTCTATATATATTTTTTGATCAGGTGTGGCAGCAAGCTGTGAACTCTCAGAAAGCAATAGCTGTTTCTACCTGATCTTATTGCCAGTTTTCATGCGTATCCACTGTGGGATGGGCCGGTTCTGCTTTTGCTTCTTGGCAAGGAATCGCTTGATCTTGAAGGTCTTGTGGGACGACTGAGGGTGAAAAGATAAAGGGAAGACATTGGAGACACTCTCCCCTATCAGAAGTTGCATTCAGAGACCTCCCTATAGATGCCGCCTGAGCCTGTGAGTACTTGCCTACACACAGAAGTATCAGTGGTAACAAAACTAAAGGGGCAAGGTTAAACAGATTGAGATAAACCGGTGCAACTGTGTGCATAGGGACACTCTGCACCAGTTTCTCCCTATTCAAAGCTGCACCAGTTTAGTTAAACAGATTTAATCTCACACTTAAACTAGTGCAACCAAGCCTGACAAATATGGAGCTGACTGTGACCTCAGAGGGAGGGAGCAGCAGTACTTAAAGGGCTAAGTGGGACACAACAACCTGCATCCATTCCAGAGTTCAGTGGGCATCACAAACAGTAAAGACCACAAATCCTGTCTCCAACGCCAACGCTACCAAATGTCCCGGGGGGGGGGGGGGCTCTGTACAGAACAGGGAGCGCTCAACCCCCCCTGCCTCCCAGGGATCAAGGCCACGCGTGTTAGCCCAGTGCTCCTCCACCAGCCAGCCTCCTTCCCCTACTGAGCTGGGGGGGCTCCGCATGGCCCAGCCCTGGGCCCCAAGCCCCAGGCCCTACCCCCGCAGCAGCGGGGTGCAGGAGGGCACCGAGGGACAGGAGCGCGCCCAGGACACGGTGTGACAGCTCCGGGCCCCAGGCCCTGGGGCGCTGCGGGCGGGACAGTCCCACCCCACCCCCACCGGGGGCCTCGCCCGCCGGCCTCAGCCTCCCGCCAGGAACCCGCTCGGGCGATTCGCGGCTGGCCCGGCTAGGAGCTGAGCCGGGAAGGGGGCGGCTCCTGTCCCAGACGCCCCCCCGCCCTCTGCGCCTGTCCCACCCCCCGATTCCACGCGGGGAGAGCCGCGCGGGGGGAGCCCGCAGACCCGGGCCCCGGTGCCGGGCGCGCAGCAGCCCGCGCAGCAGCGGATGGGGCTGGATTGTCTCACCATGGTGCGGAGCGGCGAGCCGGTCACCACAATGGCGGCGCAGGGAAGGAACGGGCGGGGCTAGCGAGCAAGGGGTGATGGGGAGGCGGCCGCAGGAACAGCGACACCCAGCGCCTCCCCGGCGCCGCTGCAGCCTCGTGCCTCGCCCTCTCGCTCACTCACGCCCCGCGCCTGCTGCGTGTTAAAGAGACAGCGCCTCAGGTGGAGGGTGCCGAGCTCTCCGAGCGGCCAAAGCTGCTGCCCCGCCCGCTGTAACCCGCCCCAAAGACCGGGCCCATCAGACCGCCCCCCCCAGGCTGAGTACTCTCCATGTTGTTGTGGTAGGACCTCCCCAACCCAAGGGGACAGGGCCTTAATGTATTCTGGTTGATTCTTGAGTAAATCTTCTGTTTTCTTAAAATACAAGAGAATTCACCATCAAAAACCTGCCTTTTGGTGGAAATGAAAAAAGCGAGACATCCGCAGTTTTTAGAAAGTTCGCCTTACACAGCTGTCATTCCATTGTGAGCTTCTCAGGGCAGGGCCTGCGTCTTTGCTGCTGGCACAGGACTTGTGTGGGATCAGCGCTTCCCAGCTAGGCAAGGTCGGTCACACCAGTATTTGGATGGGCGGACTGAGGCCGTGTCTACACGAGCACGTTACAGCGCAGGGAAGCAGCTTTCTGCGCCGTAACTCCCGAGGCGGGCCCACTGCCAAGCCACGTAGTGCGCAGAAACTGCACACTTGCTGCGCTGCGGAGCTTTCTGCGCCGGGGCTACAGGGCCGCTGTGCCCGTGGAGACACCCGGGTCGATTACAGCGCTGCAATTGGCCCCTGGCAGGTGTCCCACAATGCCTGTTCTCGCCTCTCTGGTCATCGGTTTGAACTCTACTGCCCAGCCCTCAGGTGACCACGCGTGAGCCCCACCCCTTAAATTCCTTGGGAATTTTGAAAGTCCCCTTCCTGTTTGCTCGGTGACGGGTGCAATGGTCTCAGCGCATCTTTCCAGGTGACCAGGTCTGCTCCACGCACCAGGCGATCCCCCGCTTGGAGCAATGCCGAGCTGCTGGACTTCAGCAGCATTTGGGGAGAGGAGGCTGTCCCGTGCCAGCTGCACTCCAGACGTAGAAATTATGATACCTATGGAGAGATTTTATGATGCATGACAGAAAGGGGCCATGACTGGAACACACTGCAGTGCAGGTCAAAGTGAAGGAGCTGCGGCAACGCCTACCACAAGGCGTGGGAGGCAAACCGCCGCTCCGGTGCTGCGCCCATGAGCTCCTGGTTCTATGAAGAGCTGGACGCGATACTCGATGGCGACCCCACCTCCACTGTGATACTAAGTGGCTTGCGTGCCAGTCGAGAGTGAACTGAGCCAGGAGGAAATCTTGGACAAGGATGGGGAGTAGGACCTAGAGGCAGAGAATGACTAGGAGGTCAGAGATGCATGCAGCCAGGAGCTTTTCTTTATGCTGGAGGAGGCTAGCCCGTCACAGCTATCGGAGCTTGGCGAAGCACAAATAGGGGAGGAGGCCCCTGGTAAGTGGCTTTGATTTTGTGAATCGCTGAAGCGAATTGATGGAGGCAGGAGGGTTGCAGAAAGCAAGCTTGTGTTTGTATGATGCACGTACCACCACATGCCTAGTCTGAGTGGCAGAACAGGGTGTTGATTGATTCCCTCACTTCTTGGGAATCTGCCTCAGAGGTCTCCACAGAACTCTTATGGAAATATTGGGGAATCTGAGACCACAGGTTCTTTGGCAGAGCTGCTTTGTTTCTTGCGCCATTAAGGATAACTTTCCTGCGCCACTCTGCTGTCACTGGGGTGTGTGTGTGAGTGGGGGGGAAATTCTGCACACAGGTGAGCTGCATAAGGGACAGGGCAGAAGCCCTTGGAGAAGACCCTCCCTTGATTCCCTGCTCACCCTCAGCAGCGAGGTATCTTCCCTAATGAACACAGCCTATGGAAAATGTGGGGACAGTAATGATTATAAGGCCCCCTACAGTGCTGGCTCTCCCCCAAGAGCCACGTGCCCAGTGTACAGTATGGTCCTGGAACACTGATTTCCCCTGCCCCTGTGGTTACTCTCCATTTTGGGGGGTCTTGTGGCTCATGTGTGCTTGCCTGGGGCCAGCCAGTTAGTGACAGGTATGTGAATAGTGGCTGTGTTTTAAATTACTGGATCAGTGGTCTGTGTGTTGCACACAATACTGCTTCTGTAAAATGTTGCATTTTGGCTTCACAGATATGACCTTGGGAGCCCAGCCTCCCTCGTTGTTATTGCTGGCTGAACGGCTGCGCAGAATTAGAAAGCGGCCACGAAGAACTAAAGAGGACGTTCTGTGTGATGTCATGATGCACTCCACGGCCGAAAAACAAGAATTGAAGGAGTGGCAGGACAGCGAGAAGAGGGACCGAAAGGAGAACATGGCGCGCCAGAAGCCACGGAACAACTCTTAAATGTTACGGAGCTCCAGGCAGACACACTCCAAGCACTACTACCACTGCAAACCCAGCAGCTCCGCGCCCGTCCACCCCTGCAGCCACCCTCACAAAACTCTTTCCCATGCGCCCCCCAGACACCGCCAGCACACCCTGATCAACCTCCTGGCTCCAGTCTGTGCCCGTCGCATTCCACTCCTGTCCCATCACAGTCCAGCCCTGTGGATTCCTGGTACCCACTGCACTCAACACTGCAGTTTAGCCTTGCTGAAGTACAGTACCCACTGCACTGTACTCCAAAGGACAAGGTTGCATATGATACCTGGACATACACAAATCTTTAACCGTCCCGGGACCACACCTCCTCCTGGGACCCTCCCTTCCCCTATCCGCCACAGTGCTGGGCAGCGGTGTAACTGCCAGCGATGTAACTCTGCCAGCGTAGACAGACCCCTAAAGGAGCACAAGGGGCATGAGCAGAAAAGCTATAATGGAGTCAGTAGCTCACACTCCCCCTCCTCTGAATCTGACTTAAACCATTTCCTACCACAAGAGTGGGGGGTAGTTTGCTGCTAGAAATGTCACCTTTATCTCAGCAGACATATAAAGCATATAAAGATTTGCAGTAATTAAATACCCCCCTACTACTTTTTGTAGGGGATTGCTGCAGCTAACCTTCCTGTTGGAGCCCAATCGCAACTCCAGTAGTTAACTTTCTGCTTTCCTAAACTCCTGAACTTTTTTTTCCAAACAAACTACTGTGGAGTGTTGCTCTGAGCTTTGAAATAAGCTGATGTTGCACCCTTGAGCTAACTTCTTTGCAAGAAGTGATCTCTGTGTATTCAATAATTTGGAAATCAGTTTGTAGAGTACATGAAGTGCTTTAGGATCATAGTGGACCAAAGGAGCTATGTAAATGTAAGATATACTTTGCTGCTGTCTTGGGTAACCTGTGCATTGCTATGTGTCATATATAATTTGCTGAGAAATATCACCATCCTAATTGTGATTATGGAAAGGTGAAATTGTTACTACAACCTGTTTACAGCAGTAATCAAGTTACCGTCCACCTTTGTAGGGAACAGATCACTAATCACAACCTTAGTATGCAAGGAGTCAAAAGGAATGGGATATATTTCAAGATGAACATTTAAAAGCTTAAAGGCAAACAACATCCCCCCGCCCCCCAAATCAGAATTTGGGGCCCATTCCAATCTTTTACCAATTATATAGCCACTCTGAAGTCAATGTTAAGAATATCAAAATCATAACAACCTATTTTGTTTAACAAAGAGAAGGTTAAGGGGTGACTTGATTACAGGGTATATGTATCTACATAGGGAACAAATATTTAACAGGGGTCTTCTGTCTAGCAGAAAGAGGTATAATATGATCCAATGACTGGAAGCAGAAACTAGACAGACTAGAAATAAGGTATAATTTTCTGACAGTAATTAATCACTGTAACAGTTTACCAAGGGTCATGGAGGATTCTCCATCACATCCAATCTTGATTTTAAAATTGTGTATGTTTTTCTAAAAGTTCTATGTCCTGTTATACAGGAGGTCATACTACATTATCACAATGTTCACTTTTTGCCTTGGAATCTAAGAAACCAGACCAGGTCAGATTAGTGGTCTAGCTAGTCCAGTTTCCTGTCTGCCAGTAACTGTACCAGATAGGAAGTTGAAAGAAAGTATGTAATGATAAATTATGGGATAGCCTGTTGAGTGGCTCTGCTAAAACATCTGGCTCTGGTAAAATGAGATTGAGCACAGCTAGTACAAGCAAGGAAAGGAAGTGTTACTAGTTACAGACATTTTATCTTCAATGGTTAAAAAATAATTCAAATACAATTTGCGATGAAAATTGGTTACCTTGAAAGATTCCAATTCTGACTGCATTATATGGTACCTCAGAAATAGAGAGCACTGCTTTTTCAAAGGGTTTTGGTAGGTAGTATTTAATTCAAAGATCTGTATATAACGGTCTGAAAGGAAATACCTACATTCAGTTTAAGAGAATAGCGTTTGGTTATTTGTGATTACAGAGGTGCAGCAAATGGAATTTGGAGATCAAACTTCTTCCAACCTTCTTATTCTCATGAACTAATGATTATGACAAATTACTCTGGACTCCGAGAAGAAAATATCATTAGGCCCACCTCTCTTGCTGTGTCATCTTTGAATAAGATCAGCCAGCCACCAAGGAAAGAGAGAAGACCATTGTGGCTATTACCTCGCTGCTAACCGATGTGGAGTTTTGGTTTTTCTTAAATGTTAGATGGGCCTTTTAGGAGAAAAGTAGGGGAAAGGTGGAGTTTTTAATAGTAGTAAAGGAAAGACTCATTTCTGCATTTGGAAGGTTTCTCTCCACTAACAGTTTTATTTTTACAGGTTTGGGTTTTTTTTGTAAAGTAACATTATGCACTGTAATTTAGCTACAGTGATATATATTAGTTTAGTATTCTCGGTTGTTCTCCGCAGAGTACAGGGATTTTTTGTTATTGAGTTTGAAGCCATTTGACAATCTTAACTAATGTACAATATTAGTGTGAAAAGCTTTGATAAAGGATAAATACAGTTCATGAGATAAGGCTAGCTCTGTGTCATGCCCCTAAACAGAAAAGTCTCACTGAAGACAAATAAGTTAAAGTATCTTTAATTTTTGAGATATTTTATTGGTTTTAGTACAAAACAGCTAAGGCTAAAACTTGCTAGCTTCAAGAGGATC